CAAGGCCTTTAGAAATTAGTCAGAACTTTAGGGTACAAATGGCAGAAATAAAATGGCGTAACAAAAATAAAAAAGCAAATTCACTTATTAATTTATCAAAGAACCTCAAGGGTGTAATTTACCTGGCACTAAATTCAGATATTTAAATAATATCAAAAATATGTATTTCTCTATCTCGCACTTCTAATCTTCCTTGAGTTGGCTGGGTGAAGACAAACATGACCATCAGAAGTCCTGTGCTTACATTTTGGGACTTGGGAACCTCCTGCAAAGAAGGGGTGTTTTCCTAGTTATCCCTGCAAATCTCTTATCTCATCTGGCTTGGTTTCTGACACCAAGTGAGTCATTTTCTCTAATTGGCCAGCCATCTTGGGGAACATATAGGTTCAAGGCAACAAATAAAAATGCATGACTTTCCCAAAGGAAAACTGAGGTGCAGTTGCCCAAAGGAAAGGGCCTGGATCTTGGACAGATGAAGGGAAAAGATGACCATTAACTTGCTCTGCTTTTCTCTCTGATTAGTCTGAGGCTAAAATATAGTAATATTTGTAAGTATAAACTCCATGGTGCTATACAACAAATGTATGTTGTCCTTTGCTTTTTATTATGTGGATACTTTGTTATGACTAAGTTAATAGATTTACCCAAGTAAATTATTTACAATTAATGTTTGCAGTTCCTTTTGGGCATGGGTGGATCATCCCAATTCTTATTTCTAAATGCCTTGTATCAGGTCATGTAAAATAAAGAAAATTTTCAAGGAAAGATCAATAATAACTTTCAGTAGATAAATATATACTATCATATTTATAGAGTCTTATTTAAAAATGCCTTGGCCAATGAAATTATGGTGATAAATATATCTTGGTATGTAATGATGGTGGCCAATTAAGATATGCGTAGCTTTAGAACATCGAAATTGGTCTGTGTATGACACCATGGACAAACGAAGCCAGCAGGAAGACATGGATGGCTTCATGGTATGAGAGCATCCCTTCCTTCTCGGGGTAACCGGTTTTGATAATATTCATGAGTTGATCCTGAACCTATTCACACTTAAATTAGTACTACCTTTGTATGTAAATGCTATAATTTATTTATTTTTTTTTCAGCTTTAATTGAGTTTATTGGTACATTTTAGGGATACAGTACAGTAAGGGGAAAATGCTATAATTTTTAATGGATTCTATGTATTTGTAAAACTTTCTATTATGTGTGTAACACGGTGAAAAGCTTCATTTGCAGAGGGTAATAGAGCTGCAGCATTGGCATTTGCCGGCCACACCGAGTGCTGGCGGCAGCGGCACCTCTGCTGGCGGGGATGACGAGGAGCGAGGGGCACGATGGCGGGGGCGGGGGGACCGGTGCTGCGATGCATCGTCGGGTTTCCGGGCCCTGAGACACTTACGGAGAGCTACCATGAAAAAGTCCTGGATGCTATGAAACCTCACTGAAAGATGGCTAATAGCCTTGGCTTCACGGTCTTGGCCTCTCTGTTGATAGCGACTTTTCATTTGTAGGGAGGCCTTATCTTACTTTTGTTAATGTTTATATCAATAGCAGGTGTTCTGTATAAACTTCAGGATGTATTGCTTTGTTTCCCAGAACAGTCGTCCTCTTCATGCCTTTATGTTCCCATGCTCCCTGGTGTCCACATGAAAACATTTTCATCAGAGCCAAAGATGGAGTGCGTCTGAATCTTATTTTGATAAGATACAATGGAGACAATTCACCTTATTCCCCAACTGTAATTTATTTTCACAGGAATGTGGGAAACGTAGGTCACAGGTCACCAAATGCATTGCTTATGTTGGTCGACCTCAGAGTGAATCATCTGATGGTTGATTATCGAGGGTGTGGAAAAAGTGAAGGAGAAGCAAGTGAAGGACTCTATTTAGATTCGGAGGCCGAGCTAGACTATGTGATGACCAGGCCTGACATTGATAAAATGAAAATTTTTCTTTTTGGCCGTCCCTTGGAACTGTGATTATTCATCTGGCTTCTGAAAATTTACATAGGATTTCAGCCATTATGATGGAGAACACATTTTTAAGCTTACCGCATATGGCCAGCGCTTTATTTTCCTTCTTTCCAATGTGTTAACTTTCTTTATGGTGCTACAGAAATAAATTTTTGTCCTACAGAAAATTTCTCAGTGCAGACTGTCTTTTTCCCTCTTCACCTCCAGACTTTGACCAGTTAATTCCCCCAGTGATGATGAACAGCTCTATGAGCTCTCCCCACCTTGGACTGAGAGACTGGCCATTTTCCCAGAGAGAATGCATAATGACACGTGGCAGTGCCAGGGCCACCTCACTGTGATTGAATAGTTCATCAGAGAAGTCATCAAGAGCCACTGTCCTGAAGAAATGATGAAAGCATTCATCATTCAATGTCCCGATTATATGATGCCTCTCTCTTTGGCTAACACATTGTATTTTAATTTGTGCAGCAGGATAAAGAGTGTTCCTTTCTAGAAGTGTGTTATATTGTACTTGTCTGAAAGTGACATTAAACTTAGAAAGGACCTCTGTGCTCCTTTATGATGATCCAGATCATTTTTTACATTTGAGGAACTGTCGTTCTTGGGGTTATTTCAAACAGTTCCATCAAAGCTTCGAATGTGGGTATGTATCCATAATTTTAGTTTAATATGTCAGTGTAATAGAGATTATTGAAAAGTTTCTTGTTGCTTAAGTGGCATAATCTGTTACACTTAGGTTAACAGCTGGGTGTGGAATGACATGTGTAAACAAGAATGTAATTCCTTTAGTAAATATCGGGGCAATCATGGTATGCAAACTTAGTTCTGTAACTGTATTTTTCACCTTACAAGTTAAAATGGAATGAACGATAGCATTTTATTCCTTGACTTACACAATGCAACATTCTTAATGTAGATAGCACTGGTCATGGACCAATATATATGGGTACCTGGGTTATATCTACTCTTATGTAAACTCTATTTTGTTTTTGGCAGGAAGTGAAATGAGGCCTGTGCAGGTTGCCATTGAATTTTGTTCTGGTGAATGCTGAGATCCAGCTTTGTCTTACAAATAAGTGGGACCCTGTTTTCCAATATAAATGTAAAACAAAATGGCAGCATTATTTTTCATCTACCTTTCCTTTGAAATGCATTAGATGAGAGTAGCCTCCCCCATCTGTGCATGAAAACTTGGACAGATCCCAGAGCTTTCTGCTCAGTTTCAGGTAACAGACAGTTCTACTTCTACTTCATGTCACAAGCACAGGCTCAATTTAGAAATTAGATCATCCAAATAAATAAGTCACACATGTGTAAATACCGAATAGTTTCTCTGGTGTGAAGAACTATGACAGTACACAAGATCCTAATGGGATAAATAAGAGTGTGAAATAGGAAGAAAAGGGCTAAAGGTGTAGGGAAAGGGGGAAGGGTAGGGGCAAGGAAATAAGGGAAAAGAAAAAATATGAGAAAATGAAAAAATGGAAATAAATAGTTTGTTAATGAGGGGGTAGAGGGTGGAGGGAGGGCAGGGACAAGAGGAAAAAATGAGAACCAAGACCTGTTATGTGAAGGTACAGGATCCCAGTAATAAATGTAACTGTATTGCAGACCTAGATTGTACCAATAAACTCAATAAAAAGAAAAAAAAAAGAAATTAGATAATCCAACCCATGCAAATGGTAAAAACTTAGAATTTAATGTCAACTCTTCACTCTCCCCCAGGCAGGACCACTTTGGTTTTTGTTTTGTTTTTTTCCATTAAGTTTATTGCTACTTTTTAATGTACACAGTTTAATTACCTTCATCATTGGGAACTTGTACCTTTACGTGATGTATCTTGGTTCTTAGCTTTTCCCCATTCCCCTGAGAGGGCCATTTTAAAGTTGGCTGTTCATGAGAGAGCAAAGTGTGATCCTTTCCTCTTTCCAGCTTTCTGTAATTTTTAAAAACTCCTTTAGGGCTGGCTCAGGAGGAATGCGGATTAGGAAAACAGAACACAGTCTTCTTAGTATGTATACTTGTTGGCTTTCTCTTGGGTAATTTCAAGTTTTATTTTGCTTTGTTGGAGGCTTTCTTGCTTATCCCTTCCAGGTGCAACACCTGTGAGACCTGTATGTAGTACATCTCTTTAGGCTGATTTCAACCCCCTCAGCTTTTGGTTCTCTGTACCTGTTTCCATCTCTGTGAGAAAACTGTCTCCCCTTTAGGAGGCTGGCATGGGCTTCATGGCTCCAGGCAGCTCTTTCCCTAACAAGGCCTGAGCCTGACCCATGGGACTCTTCGTGTATCCTTTGAGCGATGGGGGAGCCGCGGGGTATGTAGTTCCTGTTCCTGGGAGGAAATACGTTATATAAAATGAAATCTATATTTGGCCTTCATACCCTAAGACACTTAGAATCTCCTAAGTGCTAAGAGGGACAGGAGCATGTTTTTGGTATAATGGAGTGTGGTTCCTAAGTCCTTTTTAACACTCTGACAGGCACAGAATTGACTCAGAAATGAAAGGGACATTCTGCTATGGAAGGTTATGTGCTGCATTGCCAAGCTGCACTGACAGTGGAGAGGTGACTCTCAGATCCTCTTTGGACTGTAGTGTATGTGATTCTCCTAGCACTGGCCCACAAATAAGTGCTCAAAAAAAATTGCACCTGCTGATATGATGTTATTGACTTATAGAATTAAAATGTTGAGGTTTTCTCAAATAATTTTAGGCATTTTCTTTAAGTGCTTTGTTAATCAGATGTATTTCATGTTAGAAGAGCATTTTTACTTTTCCCCGGGATGGTTGGCTCATCCTGAGGAGCCTAACCCTTTGTGTAGCCTCTTCAGAGCCCATGGCTTCCTTCCCAGTCACTTGTGAAAGGATTCCCAGTGGCCAGCCTCCGGCCTTTTGAAACACTGCCCATTGGCAGTGAATGGGTACATGTTTCGTCCCATAGTTTCAGATTTCACTTGTAACACTTTCGACTTCAGGGATAGATTCAGTTCCATGGAGCCACGGAATAGTAGATACAGCTATGTTCTGGAACATGGTGTATCTCCTGTTTCCTCATCTTTGACCTGTTCACTATGAGTGCAACATGTTCCTCAAAGAGTCACAGTTTCTATTAGAAAATGAAAGAGGAAAAGAGAAATAAGGTACCTGGGAGTCTCCTGCCTCTATACTATTTATTTCTTTGTATTCTTTTGTTTTTAGATTTATTTTTAGTTTTATTTCTATCACATGTAAATCACATCATTTACTTATGGACTTGACTCTTGCATGTTTTTTTTTTCACTTTCTTTTTATTTAGTATTACATAATGGAGGGCTACACAGTGTCCGGTGCATCCTTCTTTCAGGAGTAGATGACCCAAAATGAGTCATTTTTCTGTCATTCAGAAAAATGCCTTCTCATCACATATTTGCCAAATCTTCTCTCAAAATGGTGACGATCAGCTCCAGAGCTGTGCCTTTTTTGCCTCAGACTGCATTGATACGGATGGTGGGTGCCCCTTTCCACTTGCCTCCAGTAGTGTCCCTTGGATGCAGGCATTGGCTGCTTTGGGGAAGAGCAAGCATGCATTCATGGTGGTGCACCCAGAGAACCACATCTTGGCATGGTTACCTAGCCCCCTAAAGGGCTTCATCCTGGCTTTAAATTTAATGATACTTTTAAGAATCCTAGATCTCCTTTCCTGGCCAAGATGAGGAGGGAATCTATTTCTCAGTCTTTATACAGCTCCCTCCATCTTTCTCTCCCTTCTTCTTTCTTTCCTGAGAATACAAGTAACCCACAGGAGCTTTTCGCATAAAAGCCAGATTTTCCTCAGTGCGAGGCAATTAGTTTTCTGCTCACTGTCCTTGCAAGACTTCAATTATCTTCTTCAGAGTATGGAATGGGAGCTGACTAGTTACTAACCTAGAGACTAGTTACTGACCAGTAACTACTGTCGCTGATTGCCATGATGCTAGAGACGTCTGCCTCTTTCTTGGATTACTTCACATCTTTGGAAAATGGCACTTATTAAATGTACCTAATCATGAGTTTTTACAGACAGGGCAAAGTCTCCACTGCATAGAAATGGTTTGCCCAGGAAGGCATATTCCTAAAGGCTCTTTCCTCCTGTTTTTTCAAAGGATAAGTTAGTTATGTATGCTCACAGATATGTATGCAAGTTGGTATTACAATAGCATATACTGATGCATCTTTTGAAAGTGTTTCTACTTAATTTTTAACTTCTCCAGTGTGTACTTGCTGATCTAGAGAAAAGCTCGTTTTCTTCACATAAACATATTTCCTTATTTGGGATTCTTTGCACTGACCTATTGTTTTCTGTTACTTACATTGTTCTTCATATTTCTCTGTTTCTTCACGTGCCTTCTCAAACTATGTGTGTTTACACATATGTTCCCTCCGCTTGAATTCTCCTCCTGCCATCCTGAAGTGCTGTCCCCAAGACTGTCTGAATCATTTTTGTTTGTGGGTAACACAAGTGCATTAAGCTAGTGAACAGAAAGGGAAATTTTTGTGGAATTATTCATGAACAGGAAGAGCATGGACCCTGAAGTACCTCAGAGAATCTAGGGAAGGAAATGCTAGTAGATTTCACAAGTGGCTGGAATTAGGACCCGGGGAGCCATTGAAACCAATAAAAATAATTTCTTCATTTCACCCTCTCTTTGGTGCCACATGGTTTCTTGCTGTGGGTCTGTATCAGAGCTTCTCAGTCTTGTCACTGTTGACATTTTGGGCCAGATAGTTCTTTGCTTTTTTGCACTGTAGGGTGCTCAGCAGCATCCCTGGCCCCTACCCACTAGCTATCAATAGTGAATTCCACTTTTGACAAACAGACGTGTCTCTAGACTTTGTTAAATGTCCTTAGAGGAACCAAATAGCCCCTGGTTGGTGGAGAAATAGTGATACCCATGAAATTTCTTTATTCTCCTGTTTTTGGGTCCTCTGTATGCATGGAAGAAAATGGTTTTCAGTTCTGGTTCCCCAGAAGCTCCCAACTCCAGTCTCATTTAAATGTTCCATTTCCCAATTCCCAGCAGAAAGATGGAATCTCAGGATTTGATTCAGCCTTTGGATTGGTTCCTTGGGAAGAGGGGTGGACTCCTGTTCTATCTGGAGGCCTAAGAAGGTGCAGCTTATGAAGCGTAAACATGGTGTCAGGTCCTGTCCCCTCCCCCAGGGCAGGGGTCATCCTGTGAAGCTCAGTTTCCCTTGTATCTCAGCTTGTTCTCTAGTAAACATCTAATGGTTCTAATTAATCTACGAACTTCTAAAAATATTTTAAAGAAGCACTGGCTCCTGCCATGGATTATTTTGCACCTAAATGAAACCAGTATAGCTGTGGAGGTGGTATGGAGCAGCAATTGAAAGCACAGGCTTTGGAGCCAGGCTACCTGGTTTTCCTGTCCCTGTACCATGTGTTGATTGTGGTTTGGACAGACTATTTGATCTTTCTTCCTAGTTTTCTCATATGTAAAATGGCAGCTGTCATAACACCAGTAATGGTAACTTTATACTGTGCTTTACTTATCAGATTTGCTGAGCATTGATTTTTTAAAAAAATGTGCAAGTTAAATTAATTGGCTTAATTCTCACAATTATGAATTTAAAGTTTTACTAGAAATCTGTAGAACTGGGTTTCTTTTGCTATGGTGGGCAGAGCAGAGTTTGTAATCTTCTGGCAGGGTCTGAGAGAGTACACTGTAGTCAATTACCAACGATTCTACAATAAAACATAAAAATATTCTACAAAGAAAGAAATGTGAAAACTCTAAGTAATTTAGGTCTTGCTACCAAATGAATATACAGCCTATATATAGAAACATGCTTTCAGAGCTTCTTGAAATTTTACACTTGTGTATTTATCTTTACTTTATAGGTGAGGACAACATGTTCAGGGAAACTTATTCATTTGACTAAGATTGCACAACTAGAAATGCAGAGGCTTGGATTTGAATGCAGGCACTTTGATGTAACAGACTGCACTCGTGGGCATAATGTTACTTCATGGGAGTGGTTGTGAGAATTAAAGGAGTTCATATGTGTAAAAAGCATGAAGATCAGGGCAGAGAACCTTGTGAGCTTTTACATTAATTATTATCATGATTTCTGCATCCTAAGAGATTATTGCGATTTATTACTGTAGAGGTTGACAGTGCAGTGATGCATTCAGTTTGTGGAGGCTGCACTCCCCAACCTTCCTAGGGGGACTGACCTCACACACCATCATCTTCTGAGCCACCTACCTGGGCGTTAGTCACATAGCTGTGACCTGCCCTGGGGACTCTGGGCTGTGACCGCCAGGGGTTCTGCCCAACTGCTCCAGGAGCTGAGAAACTATCGTGGACTGAATCCGTGTGTACCCCCCATTCATACGTTAAGTCCTAACTCCCAAAGTTAAATGGAGATGGGAGCTCAAAGGAAGTAATTAAAGTTAAATGATGCCATTAAAAATGGTCCGTGGCTTCATAGGATTAGTGTTCTTTTGTCTTCGTCTTCTGTGGCAAAAAAACACAATATTTAAGATTGGATATTATATTAAAAAAAGAGGTTTATTTTGGTTCACAGTTTGTTTGGAGGTCAAGGGGCCACATCTGGTGATGGTCTTGCTGGCAGAGCCTCAAGGAAGAACAGGGCATCACGTGGTAAGAGGCAGGGAGTGTGAGAAAGAGCCAGCCCAACTGGCTTTTAGGGCAAACACACCCTAGATCTAACTGTTAACCCCTGTATTATATGAATGGATTAATCCATTCCCGAAGGCAGACCCCTATTCGCCTCTTAAAGGGCTGACCTTGTCCTACCTCTTAAAGTCTAGCAGAGATTACATTGCAACATAAGGGCCAAAAGGAGAAACCATATTCAAACTATATCCCTTAATGAGACACCGGAGGACTCAAGGGCTCTCTGTCTGTAATGCAAACATGCTAAGGAAGGCCATATAAAGATGAAGCCATGGACATCATAGCAAGAGAGCTCTAATGAGAAATTGAATTTGCTGAAATCTTAATTCTCCCCAACAGTAGGAAAATAAGCTTCTGTGGTTTTAGGCATCCAGTGTATGTATTTAAGAGGCATGACAATATGTTTCTCTTAAAAAAATGATTTTAAAATGTATTTTCTGAATTTTTTGTGCTTGCTCTTTTTCATGTTGTCTTGGCTTATTCTACTGCTGTTAGATTCTTACCTGTGACTTCTCATACTTGGTTAGAGATTTGACTGCTATATCTTTTTTCTCCCACAATGTAATAGCACTTTATCGCCATAGGTGGTCTGAAACCCATGAAACCAACTTTAGTAGTGAGGAATAAATAATAAAAACACATTGACTACCCTGGCATTTGGATTGCTCTAGGAATAAAGTATATTAATTTGATAGCAGAGAGCGCAGCCATTCATCAGCCACTTCTGTGGTGTTCTTGAGAAATAAAACTGAATGTGTTAATATAAATTGAATTTGTATTAATCGACACTTTATTCTAAGTGAGAAGTGTAGATTTAAGATATAAAATATTAAGTACAGACTATCTTTTCTTTTCAATCTTAAAAATGACCAATTATTTGGCAGAAATAAAAAAATGTTTATTTTCTCTGTTCAGACTATTTCATTTAAAAAATTAAAACTATTCAGCATAACTCAAGCTTTTATCTATTGTTATCTTTAAAATATTAATTCAGTTCTCTTTTATCCCCCAGTGAGCATTTTGTCATTGTCCACATTTTCTCAAGAAGTTTAGCAAAGAGAAAAGAGAGAGTTCTTCATGGGAGCCCAAAATGCCATGGGAAAGAACATTGCACTCTCAGTCTGCCTAGTGCTGTTGTCCTGATGTGCACTTGCTTGTTTCATGTTACTTACTCATCAAATACTGCTTCACTTTGTCAGAGGAAAACAATTTTGAAAATTATCATGAATGATCATGCTGGATTATTACGTGTTACACATACACTTTCGTGAGCATGAAAAAACTGTGACGACTAGATTGTAGCCAGCCTCAAATATGATTAAAAACATGCATTCATGTAGCTGCGCATACAAGAAAACTTTAATCTACCTATGAAAGCATAGTCCCAAAGCAAAGCTCTTGTAAGCATTAGTGGGAGGATAAATATTTAAATTGGGAAATGTTGACTGTACCAGATGTAT